AGACACTGGCTTATGGGTGACACATAAATATCATTAATAAGCAAGAAAGTAAAATATACCCCTGTGCAATTGCACATCTGAATCAACTAAAAAGTAAAGCAAAATATTGTGTGAAACCTATCACTAAGTCTTGGAAGCCTACATTGAAAATGTTTTGCCATTTTCTCTCTTTTCACTCACATTGCGTAATTATGATAAAAGTATTCATTTGCAACAACTGATCCTTATTTCCATCTGCACGTTAAAGTGAGCAAAATTAATTTTTTTAAAAAGTTTGTTATTTTAATCACAAATGCCTTAGGAGAGCAGTTTTCCAAAATCACATTTATTTACTGCATTTTCTCCATCTCTCCGCTTCCAGTTCTTAATGTTTCCAAACCAATCTAATATTTGGAGCGTGGCTTGGGGAACTTGGTTCCTAGCATTACATTTTCCAGATTTATTTTGCAAAGTGGTACGGTAGATGGCTGGCAGTCTAGTCTGTTAGATACTGGCTGATGATGCTCTGGCAAACAGCCCAGGGAGACAGCACTAGGCTTAAATTCAATAGCACAATCAATTTTTTTGATCAAATACAAGACAAGATGTCATCTTGATTAGTTTCTTTGCAGCTTCATGGAGACCTCTTAATTTTGCTGGGAGAACACTTTTGATTCATTTGCAATTGCGGGACGGGATCTGGATAAAGTTCAGCACAGAGAAACAGCAAAAGGTTTATTGCATGCTAATTCTTGCTCTAGCGCTCTTCAAAGGTATTTGACAGCACTAAACATCTGATACAGCCACCCACAGAACAACTCCATTTGCCATTTTGAGTAACAGCCCTAGGGATGGGGATGCCACCCACCTTCAGGAAGATGAAGAAGCTTATGCAGGTATATCTCCAGAACAGTCTCAATTTCATCAAGGAGGTGACTTGCTAATAATCCAAAATATTTGTGTTTTCTTATTGCAGTAGTTAGTTTTGTATCTCATCCACTGGTTTCATTATTTGATGTTTGTACCTATTGTTTCCTGCTGCCGTTGTGGAGTTGATCTGTTGGGGGCTTGTTAGGATGTTGCTCCTGCCTTCGGATGAAGCAGTATACTCCACAATTGCTGTTCACTGCTTTACTCAGATAAGCTATTTCCACACCCCTTTTTATTTCACCTCCCTTCTGACCTTTAATGTGATTTCTTAGCTCCCTTCCCCTGATGCCAATTTTCACCCCACTTTTAGCCGAGTTCCCTTCATCCAGAATTTTGGCCAATGCAAATTCTCCCCGTGCTCAAAGAACTCACATGGACCTCCGAATGCCCTCCGTCGAAAGGAAAGGAGCCAGAGACCAAGATATGGTGAAGTCCAACTGAAAACTGTTGACAATTGTTTCAGATCTCATTTAGGTTTATGGTACTGTCTCCTACATATTAAAAAAAATATGCGCTCCAATCCAGTGCTTCCCATGCATTCTCTCTCTGCTGTGGCCAAATCCTGCTTGGTTATGGTAAAACCACACACAATTGTGGGGTGGCTAACACCTGTTCAGTGCAACATGACCTGCGCTTCCCCCATTAACACCTTGCCTCTTGCATGCAGGTGCCCTGGAACACAAAGACTGCCATAAAACATTGAAACAAGGAAGGAATTAATGGGAGAAACCTCATGTGGCTTTTAGTACCAAAATGCAGGGACAAGCAAGCTTATATATATATGTATTTGTGGATATGAGCCCTGTGATGCATATTTTCAGGGACACTGAAAGTGAGGCTTGTATGTGTACTCCTACCCCTGAACACAAGGCTTGCTTAGGAAGGAGGGCGAATTTTCTCCTAATCCTTGGTTGGGAAGCCACCAAAAGCCACTGTTTACATGTCAAGGAACGTATGGAGGATGCTTCTTCCATGCATATTGATTTAATCTCTCCTAACTGCACTTACTTAAGTGGCTCCCCCTCCCCAATATCTTCTCATGTAGTTAAATAAATATAACCCATCGCTATTCCGCCTCTCGGGTCTTCTTTCAAGACGTTGGCAATATGGTCACTGGTGCTGGTACAGTTTTATGCACTGAGTAGCGTACACTAGTGATAAATTTCACTTGAGCCTGCCAATTTCAAAATCCAGTCTTTAACATCAGCAGTAACATCTAGACCATGGGAGCGTTTCAGCCCTGTTCTTGAGTTTGTTCAAAATCTAATACAGCTTTATCTTATATTCCTTTCTTTGAATTTGTGCCACTTACATTTTTAAACCTTTTTGTAAAAGCACTAGAATTTTCACAATTGAGTCCTCAACCCTCTATTATTGTGCTTTGCTTTCTTCAAGCTGAGCCTTGTTTAATAATGCTATTTAGGTTTTCAAACCTTTTTTATAAATTCAGTATTAGAAACTGTACTTTTGAGTCCTCAATCCTTTATTACTGTGCTTTGCTTTACCTAGGTCAAGCTAGGATCGTAATACGTCAGAATTTTGGGGTTCTACCTTTGTTTGAATTTTGGTCATTTAACGTTTAGGATTTTTCTATTTCCTTCTGAGGCAACTGAACAGTTCAGTGAAACGAGGTTTGTAGCCTGCATCCCGTTAAGGCTTTGTTCTATTTTAGGTTTTTTCTAAGCCGTTTGATTTTTATTATTTAGTTGATTTCCACAAGATAATATTTATAGTTGATTACTTCTCGTTTCAGTGATTCTCACAGTATTTCATGTTTTGTGCAATTTCTCAGTTCCATGACTGTCTTTTTTATATTAATTTCAAAATCCAAGCATAACAGTGATGTGATTCTGAGGCAGGAAAATGTGAAAAAAAATTCCTTAAAAGTGGGGCTTCCAGCTTGATGCACTCAGCGCTGGGTCGAGGGAATGTGCTCTGAAGCAGTGGAGCACACCCAATCAAGGTGTCAGGGCAGAATCAGTATGCTCAAAATCCCCTGACATGGAAGAGAACGTTCAGGTAGAAAGGAAGGAATTAGAAGAATGTGTGTCTGCAGAGGAGGGGGAAGGAGAGTCCAGCGAGGAAGCATCAGCTCCTGTAGACACAGGGAATCAGGAAGTGGTGGAGAGCGAGCAGGCAGCCTTGCAAGGGTTAAGCTCTGAATCGGAAGGAGGGGTTACATTTATGACAGCTCGCACAAGACGCAAAGACAAGAGACAGGGTCAAAGGAGAGTCGTGAGGTTCCCACACTTTAGATGCTGGAAGCGGAAGAAGAGGTCTTTGGCGGTATCTGAACTAAGTGATTCAGACTAAGGGTGATTAGCTCGTTATGCCTTCTGTAAATACTTGTAAATAAAGACCATAAAAACATCAACGGTTGAAGTGGTGATTACTGTGAAGAGAGAAACTCCAGCCCTGACACAAGGTTAACGGAAATTGGGGAGAACGACACTGTCTCAAGAAGTTTGAGAAGCGGTCTCAAACCCAACAGCACCGAGCGGCGCAGAAAGGGGGTTTCTCGCCATTCTGACACGAAATAGGTGGAAGTTGAGAGCACCCGAGTGCAAAAAGAGGGAGCTTTCCCGACCGTGAGACGTCTCAGGACCCAACCGAGCCAGCATCAATCTTCTCGATTAATAAGAACGAGAAATACAACTCTTGCTCCCTAAAGAGCAATTTGATATCGGACAGGAGAGGGGAGGACACTTTTTGTGATTAAATCAAAACACGAAAGATTGCTGCTGCTGCTGCTCTCATGAGGGCTGGGAAGACCGCTCCCTTTCTGCCAATTCCATCTGGCCTGGCCTGCACTCACCGCCACAGTTTAGAAGCCTGAGCAGCTCCCTGCAGCAAGTGACAGAATGGTTTTAAATGTTTTAAGTGCTTTTAATTTGCTGCACCTTAAATGGTGGTTGTTGTTTTTTATAATATTTTATAATTTTATTATTTTATTTCTGCTTGGGGCGGAATAAGTATTTAGTCAGAGTGGGGAGTAGTTTAATTTTAGGACTATTGTTTCTTGCTTTATTTTTATTATTCTGTTAAGTTATTATTTAGTTTGTATTTTGCTTTTTAAGGGGAAGGGTCAGGGCTGCCTGGGAGTGGGCCTCAGCCAATAGAATGGCTGGGGAAGGTTCTACGGGGGGGGGGATGTATTGGGACACCCGATCTCAGTGATCACGGGCAGGAGGAGGAGTTATGCTAAGACCAGACCATGTCATTACCGAGGAGGCAGGTTTAGTCATTGTTTGAGGACAACTATCAACCACTCTCATTGCTAAAAATGACTATGCAGGAATTCTATGCTAACAATATATGCAGAAATTCTGGCCAATAGATTTAAAAAAGTACTCACAAGATATTATTAATGAAGATCAGGCCAGATTCTTGCCAGATAGACAAATGAAAATCAATATGAGAATGGTGATAGATGTTATTTGTAGGAAAATGGTTGTTTGTACCTACATGACAAGATGGATGCCAGGATGGGAATTTACTATAGTTTGACCTTTTGATACTGCAGGCTGTGTTAGGCATGATGAGCGCGTGATCGCCTCATGCAAGGAAGGTGATTGGTTCTTATTGTATGGCTTGATAATGGGGTGATCCCCATATTTGGTGTTTGCCTTGCATGATGATTGATACACTGTTGTACTGTTCTTAATAAAAAATGCTGGGCTGCAGCTCCAGGGAGCTTCTTTTTCTCTCTCTCTCCTGAGGCTGCTAGACCCTTTACAAAAAGCATCCTGGTGTGAGACTGATTTATTTTTGTGACGAGCAGGCCCTCGTCATCCCTGCCCTCGTCATTTGGTGCCCCGTGTGACTACCCTCGGACTCTTCGTTGTTTCTCATCGTTCAGCGCTCGCCACGCGTCTTTCATCCGCTTCGGATCCCGGTGAGCGCTCCCTTTCCTTTGGACTTCGACTGATTTCGGACTTCGCGTCGCTGCGGCCTTCTCAGCGTCCACCACGCCCGGCCAGGGCTTCAGGTACCGCTCATCCTCTCCTAGGATCCCGGTGGGTGCTCCCTTTTTTCGCTCCTTTTCATCCTTTGTGGATCCCTGTGATTTTTTTTTCACTACTCTTGCTATCATGGGGCAGTCTCTTTCAGCGCCACAACAGCAGTTTGTTGTTGAACGTCAATTTCTTCTGGCCAGTAACAACCTTGCTGTTTCGGATGCCGATCTTAAGGCACTTCTTCTAGCTTTGGACACTCATTGCCCCTGGTTTCCTCAGGATGGCACTTTGGATTTAAAAGACTGGGAGAAAATAGGACATTTTTTCCATAACCATCCTCAAATTAATGTCAAGGTTCTGCTTGCATGGTTTAAAGTTTATAAAGCGATGTCCTGCCTGACACCAGCTAATATCCTTTTGGCTTCTTCGCCTGCTGCTTTGCCTCTTCCCTCTCCAATTTTATGCCAACCGTTGCCTTCTTCGAAACCACCAGTTTATGTACCTCCTAAACCACCGGATCTCTCTCCTTCGGTTCCTACTGTCCTGCCACCGCCTCCCTCTGCCCCTCCTCCAGCTTTTTCACCAGGGGTGCCCAACGTTGCTACCACTCCTCTTCAAGAGTCTCTCCGTGCCGCTGCTCCATTGCTGGCTTTTGATTCTGCCACACCAAATCTTTTTCCTGTAATTGTTCCTGCCGCCGTGGGGGGAGGCCCAGCCCGCCACGAACAGTTTGATTTAAGATTCATAAAGGAACTGTATTCCTCTGTCAGGGACAATGGCTTACATTCTCCTTATACCCTGGGACTTTTTGGCACTATTTTTCAGCAAAATCTAATACCAGAGGATGTAAAATTATTAGCCCGCACTGTTATGCAGCCTCATCAAATGATTTTGTTTATACAAGCTTGGCATTGGGCTTGCCAACGTCGCGTTGATGGCATTCGCAACAATCTCAACAATGCTGCGCAGGCAGCTCACCAAGCCGCGATTGCCGCCGCTGGCGCTCCACCTCCAGCCCCTGTTATGTTGACCCATACTGATGTTTTTGACGGCCTGACAGGTGGGGGCAATTTTCTTACCATCGCCCAGCAGCTAGCCCTTGATCCCATGTATTGGGAAGCCACTACCGCTGCCGCTCAGGAGGCCCTGTCCGCTGTGCCTGATGAAAAGACTGAGCGTGATGGACGTTGGGGCAGCGTCCGGCAAGGCCCTGCAGAGCCTTATGGACAATTTGTCGATCGCTTGTATAACACCCTCAAGCGGCAAGTTCAGGACGTCGCAGCCCAAGAAGTGATTGTCCGCCAGCTTGCGTTTGATAATGCAAATGAGGACTGTAAGCAAGCACTGCGCCCTTTGATGACAACGCCAAATATTGCCATTGCAGATATGCTTAAGGCCTGCCAGTCAGTGGGCACTGAGACGCACAAAGCCCGTCTGTTAGCCGCAGCTCTATCCTCTACAGTATCCCAGAATCCTGCCAAGGACAAAACTTGTTTTGGTTGCGGAAAAATGGGACATTTTCGTGCGCAGTGCAGATCCATCACGCAGCAATGCCGCCCTAGCACAAAGTGCCCTATTTGTAAGAAAGGCTTTCACTGGGCTAACCAGTGCCGTTTTGCCGTGCCTCGACAAAGTCAACAACAACAACAAAAACAGCAACATCAACAAAACCAACTGACGGGAAACCGGCAGTCGGGCCCACCCCGGGCCCAGGCACAACAATAGGGGATTCAGCATGTTCTCCGGTCATTCCACCGCCGGCACTACCTCACCTTTCTCTAACCCAGGACTTATGCCTGCCAGTCCCCTATGTACCACAACAGGCTCAAGTGTCAACAGGGGCTGGTTTTTCTTCTTCAGCACAGTGCCTTGTCTTCCCACTGTCAGAGGTTTTGCAGCAAGGGGTCCATCTTGTTCCAGATGTGTTACATGGATTACAACACAATGACCCTTATGTGACTGTCTTTTCTGATCGCCCTACGCATTTGCCGTCTGGTTCTCCTATTGCCAAGATTGTGTGCGCTCCGGAGACGATCCAGAACCATGATCCTCTTGTTGCCGCTACTTTTTCAGTCACAGAGGAGCGCCCAAAGATCCAGATGACCCTTGGAGGCCGCATGATTGAAGGGGTTTTGGACACGGGGGCGGATTGTTCCGTGATCGCCTCCAAGGATTGGCCTCCTGCTTGGCCCACCGAACCAGCTTCTTCTGTTGTCGGCGTTGGAGGCTCTGCCTCGGCCCGCCGCAGCAGGAATCCTATTTTGATTCAAGGCTCTCAAGGCTTTGAAATGACTATTTTGCCACTGATCCTGGACATTCCTGTCTCCCTTTGGGGGCGAGATCTGCTTGCTGCAGCGGATACCACCATTTCTACAAATTTATGCTAAGGGCTGCCCCTGCCATGCCCCGGACTGCGCTTTCTCTCTGCTGGACCACAGACACCCCGTGTGGGTAGACCAATGGCCCTTGCCTAAAGAAAAGCTTGCAGTGGCAGCCCAGTTAATTTCAGAACAACTTGAACTGGGGCACATTGAACCTTCCACCAGCCCGTGGAATACGCCCATCTTTGTCATCAGAAAAAAGGCATCTGGAAAATTCCGTCTTCTCCAAGACCTTCGAAGGGTTAATGAACAAATGCAACCGATGGGGACCTTGCAACCCGGCATTCCTAATCCCAACATGCTACCACAAAACCATCAGCTTGCTGTCATCGATCTCAAAGACTGCTTTTTCTCTATCCCTCTGGCACCACAAGACAGACAGCGTTTTGCCTTTACCCTGCCTGTCCTGAACAACTCCCAACCTACCCAGCGCTTTCAATGGGTGGTTCTCCCACAGGGAATGCGAAATTCTCCAACTTTGTGCCAGTATTTTGTGGATAAGGCACTTCAACCATTCCGTGAGCGCCACCCTGTGGTCACCTGTTATCATTACATGGATGATATTTTACTTTCCTCATCGCACATTTCTGATATTCTTCTCGAGGATTTGACCCATGCTCTGATGCAAGCAGGATTGACAGTGGCTAAAGAAAAGATCCAGCGGACCCTGCCTATTACGTATTTAGGACATAAGTTGTCTGCTGCTGCTGCCATTCCAGTTGCGCCTCAACTACAGTTCCCTGATCATCTTAAATTGGTGGACTTGCAACAACTCCTTGGACAGTTAAATTGGATAAAGAGTTACTTGGACCTGCCCACCTCCACTCTGTCTCCACTATTTTCTGCCCTTAAAGGCCACAAGGATCCAGCAAGCAAGATCACAGTTACCCCTGCTATGGAAGAGGCTTTGACAACTGTGAACAACCATCTCCGCAGATGTATGGTGGACAGGATCCCTTCCCTTTCCATGGCACAATTATCTCTTGCAGTGTTTGCCACCCCACTCCTTCCAACAGCTATATTGTACACCACAGGCCAGAAGCCTGGGACTGTGTCTATTGTGGAGTGGCTTCACCTGCCTCATACTCCTCCGCGTAATGTGTATGCTACACCCAACAGCGTCATGGACCTTGTTGTCAGGGGCCGACATCGGGCCCTTGCCCTCTCTGGAATGGACTTACAGTCAGTGTACTTGCCCTTCTCCCAGGAAGAATTCATGCATTTAATGATGACAGCCGTTCCTACTCAAATAGCTTTTGCTGATTTCTTAGGAAAAATTATTCACAATCCCCCTAGAGACCCTCGTTTGTCTTTCCTTACAGGGCTACGTTATGTCCTGCGAACTGCCTTGTCCCCTCTACCCTTACCCTCCGCTCTCACTGTATTCACCGATGGCACTAAGTCCAGGGGGGTGGTGGTGTGGGATGAGGAGGGGAAATGGAAAAGTTTATATACTACTGAGCAATCCTCAGCACAACGTGCTGAATTGGCAGCTGTAATTTTAGCTTTCCAACAATTTGCTGATATCCCTTTCAATCTCATTGTGGATACGCAGTATGTGTATAATCTGTTGAATGTGTTACCATTGTCGTATATTACTCCTGCCATTGATGATAATTTGTTTGCATTATTCTCCACTTTGCAGAGCTTGGTACAAGCTAGGACTTGTCAGTTTTATGTAGCACACCTTAGATCACATACTGGTCACCCTGGCTATTTGGCAGAAGGTAACGACCGGGCAGATCAAGCTTTGAAGAATGGCATCTTTTCTTTATTTTCTGACCCATTCGAGAGTCATTCAGTGTTTCATCAAAATGCTAAGGTGTTAGCTAAATCCTTTTCATTACCAATTTCTCAAGCTAGGGACATTGTGTCACAGTGCGCTGTGTGTTCCAAATCACCCACAGTCATTCCTTATGATGCAGTCAACCCTAGAGGCTTGCATCCCCTGGCAATTTGGCAAATGGATGTCACCTACACGCCATCTTTGGCTCCATTTTCTAAAGTACATCTCACTGTGGACACTGCCTCTGGTTTTATTTGGGCCACGCCCTTGAAAGGAGAGACTACTCGTCATGTTATTCAACATTTAATGCGTTGTTTTGCTGTTATGGGAAAACCCCATACTTTGAAAACTGACAATGGCCCTGCATATATTTCTCAGGCCTTTTCTGATTTTTGTTCTTTGTGGGATGTTAGGTTGACTCATGGTATTCCATTCAATTCTACAGGACAAGCAATCGTCGAGCGCTCCCACTTGACTTTTAAGACTCTTCTCAACAAGCAATTGGGAGGCCGCTCGGCTACTGTTTCTGAAATACCTAATATTGTGCATCAAGTATTGTTTACCTTAAATCATTTGTTGTACCCTCACAATAAGGATTTTACGCCTGCTGAACTTCATTTCAGGAAAGAAGAAGTACTGCAGCGCCCTCTAGTGTCTTACAGGTTGCTTCCAGATCCACAGTGGAAGGGTCCAACTTCATTGCTTTCCTGGGGTCGTGGATTCGCTGCCATTGACGTGGACGGAGAAACACGATGGGTTCCAGCTCGGTGCGTTCGACCTTGGCGCTCTTCTGTTGCCTCGTCTTCGCCCAAGGAGACACCAACGCCTTGAAATCATATTCTACGCTGTCTGCCAGTGATGACCTCCCACCTGACTTCAACCCGCGTTGCAGTTGGAGACATCGCCATATTGATGCACCCTGGATAAAGTCGCCTTCTACAGCTGTTCCGGTGTTTCCTGGCACGTCGAAAGGTCATCTTCGTCCCTACCTCATTGACCCCCTTCCCCTGGGAAGTCACCATGACTACCAATTACCCTCCGTGGACACTGTGAAGCGCCGCTCTCGTCGTGCTGCTCTTTTGCAGAAGGCTCGTAAGCCTGAACTTTATCATCAGATTTGGACCAACAATACATATGTTAGGGACATAAATAATTTTGCTTCTATACTTAATCTTTCCGAATGTTGGGTGTGTATGCATATTCCTCCTCAATCAAAAAGATCTGGCATATTATTGCATGGTATTCCTGTAAATGCTTCATATAAGATTAGTAATAATATGAAAGATAATCGTACTAGTTCACCCCTGTGTTTTTGTCGCTTGTAGAAACAGCGTCTCATTGTTTTCATTTCAATCGTAATAGTAGTAAATTTTTAGGTCATTATCCATATTGTAATTGGACCTATGAGTATGTTAATGGATCTTCTTGTTTTCTTAATGTTACCACTATGAGTGGTAGGCCAAAAGTTTTAGTTAATAATGTCACGACCAACATGACTTATGAACAACAGGCTATGTGTAGAGATTTTTATGTTTGGTTTGATTGGATGAAGAAAAGCAGCAAATCTACATGTTTGCTTCGATCTGATTTATGGTTATTTTGTGGTACTAGAGCCTACAAAGAAATCCCCTTTGCCTTTTCTGGAACGTGCACCTTAGGAATAGTCATACCCCTGGTCTATAAACTGGACAAGCTCCCAGTGGTTCGTTTGCGTAACAAAAGGGAAGTGCGATCACCTATCTCTCAATATACAGGGACAGCCGTCTCTAGATCTCTCCTGCCCTCTTTAGGTGCAGGCATGAATTACCGTGATTTGCACAAATTGGCTAATTGGACTGAAGCCTTGTTTAATTCTACTATCTTGGCCTTAAAATTAATTAACAAAGAAATGTCAGAAATGAGAGATGTGACTCTTGAAAATCGTTATGCTTTAGATGTAATCCTTGCTTCCAAAGGTGGAGTTTGTGCTTTAATTCATTCCCATTGTTGTATGTATATATCTGATCAATCGGCCAATATTTCTGCTACTATTGATTATATGGAACAAATGATAGCCCATAATCCTTTGAATCCTCCCGAAGGTTTTGATCCATGGGAATGGTTGTCTTCCTGGTTGCCTAATAGAGTGTGGTTAAGGAAAATTTTACTAATTGTAATTTTGCTTGTTGCAGGATTTATTGTGTTGTGTTGCTGCATTCAATGCCTACCCTCTTTGTTTGCTCAATGTAGTACCTGGTGGTATCGTCCAAGACCTACCACTGGAGTCACAAGAGGAATTTACATTGCAAGATATCAGCGTTTAGGAAATGAAACAAATGATTCTGATTAGGTTTTGTTAAATTTTATTTTTTACTTTTCATAAAACAAATAAGAAAAGAGGGCATGTAGGAAAATGGTTGTTTGTACCTACATGACAAGATGGATGCCAGGATGGGAATTTACTATAGTTTGACCTTTTGATACTGCAGGCTGTGTTAGGCATGATGAGCGCGTGATCGCCTCATGCAAGGAAGGTGATTGGTTCTTATTGTATGGCTTGATAATGGGGTGATCCCCATATTTGGTGTTTGCCTTGCATGATGATTGATACACTGTTGTACTGTTCTTAATAAAAATGCTGGGCTGCAGCTCCAGAGAGTTTCTTTTTCTCTCTCTCTCCTGAGGCTGCTAGACCCTTTACAAAAGGCATCC